TCCCCACGTTAGCCTGAAAAATAGAAGCCTCTCAAAATAAAAATTGGATACACGCGCAGATCTGTGTACGGTGTGGTTGCATTTCATACAATAAAAGTGCCCAGGTCCTCCTGCAGCGGCAGCGCTCGTTCACTGCGCGGCCGATTCGTGCACAAACACGCCCTTCAAGTCCTTACCTACTGTACGCGTACGAGTAAGTGCGCTTAGGGGATCTCTTCATCGGGACAGCCTGGTGGACAGACTGTGGTTTCTGTCCCGTCAGTCAGCCAGCCAGATCTGCGAGGACACTGGCTTCTGGCAGACAAGATTTAGAAAGATTGACTGAAGTGCCCGAAACACTACCAGCACCCAGTTCCCAGTACCGAACCCGGTATTGACTATTCGACTTTTCACAAGCGACTCTGCCGGAGGAATGATTGGAAACGAATATTATTCGCACTGGTTTGTTTTCGGGTTCTAAATCAATGGTCCTAATTTAAAAAAAATAAATACATCTTGTATTCCTTGATTGCATGCCTCGGAATAACCCGAGCGCTGATCTCAGGGCTCTCAAAGCTGAGACCAAGACTGATTTATTTTGATTTTTGTTTTTGTCCTCTCTGCCTCAGGGCGGCTGAGCTCCGCCTGCCAGGTCCGTGTTTGTGATGCCGGCAGGCGGCGTCTGTTTGAAAAACGAAGGGCCTGCCCTCGGTGCACAGCCACAGCGAGCCCCGTCGGGGAGGAGCCGAGACGCGTCATTTTGCAGAAAAGAAAACCAGGATATCGAAAGTGTAAGAGTTTAAGATATTTGGAGCTTTTCGGGGCTCTTTGCCGTATTGTAATTCGCGTGTATGAGGCGTCGCAATCGACCGTCTCAAGCTGTTTCCTGGGTTGCCATTGCAAAAGCAAAAACACGCAGTTTGATTTGGTTTGATAAGCCGATTGGACCTTGAACTTCTGCTGCTGTGTGTGTTAACATACAGTCCGCAGAGCCCTGGGAGAGCAGCGCGTTGCTACGCATCTGGAATTTGAGGACGAAAGTCGGAGAGCCTGTGGATTGGGGTTGCTGTCAGTCCCGAGGCAAGTAGAGTATCTGCCGTTCACAACCCAGAGGTCTTCCGGCGCTGACCAGCAGGCAGTCGGTGTCCGGTTTATCGCCTCCTTTAGCGTTGAAAACGACACGTCTGTCACCTGTAGAAGACCTTACCTTTCTAGTTCCCTTACCTGTTAGTGGGAGAGGACTTTTTGCAAGCGAGTTCATTCTTGTCTGTTAATTCATTAAAAAAA